CGTTTCTTGCTAACTGCACACATGACTTTGATGAATTAAGTCACAACTGTAAACATTCAGAGGGTGCTGGAGTGATGTGTCTAAGTGAGTATGTCACGTATACATTATGAATTTGTTAAGTGATGTAGGTTGCATTGATGGATCCATTCGTCTTGTTGGTGGTACAAACAGCAAGGAGGGACGTGTTGAGGTATGCAGTGGTGGAGTGTGGGGTACAGTCTGTGATGACTTCTGGGACAACACTGATGCTAGTGTTGTATGTAAACAGTTGGGATATTATTCTGGTAAGGAAAAATTAGATTGCACTGTGACTGTCCTAACATAGGAACTGCCTTTGGTAGTGCCTACTTTGGACAAGGAACTGGATCAATTGTGATGGATAATGTTCATTGCAATGGAACTGAATCTCACCTTAAAAATTGTACCCACATCACAGAACAAAACTGTAATCATAATGAAGATGCAGGAGTCAAATGTGTTTGTAAGTATTGCATTGTTGATCAATCGTTTGTTTTGATTGTATATAGGTACTGGTGTAAACCCTTTTTCTGCTGCATGTTTAGTTGATGTCTTTTTGTAGAAATAGTTTAATATTTTTATTTCCTCTAGCTAGTGTAATGTTTTAAAGGTATGCTTGTACTGATACTTTTATATGACAACAGAAAAGTATATCTTATTGTGGGGAATTATTTTGTACCAGTCCTGCATTGACCTGCAGTATCTTCAAGCTGAAACCTGCCTGGTAGATGGCAAGGGGCTTAGTTATTGTTTACAAGCATCTGCTGTGCATATATGCATAATACTTTGAGAGATTAAACTTTTGTGGCTAAAATGAAAATCATTTTTGTTTAAAATTTTGTAAATGTAAATCTTTGTAAATGATGAAAATAACATTTTAGCAAGCAAAGCCATGCATGAATTTTATGCACATTTAGCTACTGTATACTCTAGATAGCCTTTTGTGATTGTAACAGCACAAAAATAAGCCCTTTTGCCCTCTTAATTGACTATAGCATTGTGACTATGACACTTGTGGTATATACATGTTTGGCAACCAATATACCATTATCTATGCCCACTTCAATTTAAGTGATGAAATATCATTACAAGGTCATGTGTAAAATAGAATACAATTCTTTATAGTATGTGCTGATGAATCAATTCGTCTTGTCAATGGTTCACATGATTGGGAAGGAAGAGTGGAAGTGTGTATTAGTAGATTATGGGGCACTGTCTGTGATAATAACTGGGACTCCACTGATGCAGCAGTAGTGTGTAGACAACTAGGCTGGGGAACAAGTGAGTTGATTCATTGTGATAGTTATTATTTATGATATATTATCAAAGGTGGAACTGCTCTATTAAATGCTTACTTTGGTCAGGGTGATGGTAGTATAAATGGATCAGTTGTGATAGATCATGTTGATTGTATTGGAAGTGAATCTTACCTTACTAACTGCACACATACCACAGAACACAACTGTAATGATAAGGAAGTTGCAGGAGTCAGATGTTCCTGTAAGTTGTACTGGTAGTGAGAATGGTTCTGCTCTAATAATAGCAAAATTATTTAACTTGGCCAAACTTTTATTCTTCAAGCTTGATAGATGAAATTAAAACCAAAAATTAAGGAACTATAACCTAATAGATGAACACAGTCCTTCCACAAAATAAAAGACCCTGTACTATACAGTATCTTGAGCTAAATTTCAACAAACATTTGTATTTTTTTTTTTTTTTTTTTTTTTAATAATAAATAGCATAGCTAATTGTAAGATAAATTAATAAGTAACAAAGAATAAAGAGGTGGTCATAGGTCATTATCTATTTTATACTTAAGGTACGAGAGGGAGAGAGTGAGTTTCAGAGAGGAGGGTAAATGATTCCATTGGTTGATTACAGAGGGATAAAATGAATTTTGGTAGGTAGAAGTTTTACAGGTGATTGGAGATAAATTGCCTTTGTTGTTAGATCTTAAGTGGTAATTTGAGGGAACTTTAGCTAGATAGGAGACGATTTACCACCTTTATAACTTTTTTGATGCATACATGTACTTATGTTGTGTAGAAATTTTGAGCTCATTGCTCATTCTGATCAAAACACAAATTTTTAAAGCTGCATTAAATTTAGGCCAAAGACCCTATGGGGTCTTATGGGCAGTATAAGTGAAATATCAGCACTGCAGTATCTTTAAAGTTTGGCCTGAGTAGGATTTAATATCAACTCATCAATACAGTTACAATTACAATCAATAAAATAGTTTATGGTGCGTTATGCTTTTTAACTCTCCTATAGTTATCAATGTATCTGCTAATCCAGCTTCAAATCAGTTATCGTCTATTGTGGTACCAGTGGCAATAACTGTTTTATTGATGTTGCTGGTAGTGTTTGCAGTAGGATTATTTGTTGCTTGCTTCATTATTAAGAAGAGAAGGAATCTTAAGCAGCTGACTGGGAGAACTGAATCTAATTCCTCTTTTTGTAAGTACATGTAACTCTATAATCTGACAAAATATTCTTAACAATTTTTTCTAATTTACTAAAAATTTTTACTGCAATTGTCTATTTTGTCATTAGTATTACGTAATAGTTAATTACATGTAGTTTTGAAAAGCAACAAAGAAAATATCTGCGCTTCTAGTTCTAACAGAAAAGTTGAGATTTCATCTGAAAAAAATTAAAAAAAACAAGATTGA